CCAGCGAAGAGTATGCCCATCCAAGCCATAGGCAGCCAGTTTCTCTAGGAGAATGCTGTGGGACATGGTGTCAAAGGCTTTACTGAAGTCCAGGGAGACCACATCCACGGCCTTTCCCTCATCCACTAAGCAGGTTACCTTGTCATAGAAGGAGATCAGGTTAGTCAGTAGCAGATGGGTGTTTGCTGTTGAGTTCCCCTCGACCCAGCATTTTGAGGCCTCTCTTGAGCATGTCTGCTCCCTCCCAGCCAATCCACCGTAGTGCTCCGGCCCCGGGTCCTTTCCCTTCCTTTCTCCCTCGCTGCGTCCTCTCCTCATCCGCTCCTGTCCCCTTCCCTCGCACACAGCGCTGGAGGTCCCGTGGGCAGCTGGCACCGAGCAGCATCTCATTGCAGGGGGTTTGGGCAAGTGTAAAATGTTCCCCGTTTCCAGAGAGATTGTGAGATACCTGCCGCTGTGTGGCTATTTTGTGTTTCTAATTGAGCACATGTGCATCTTCCAGGGAGGAAAGAAGAGCAAAAGCAGAAGAAATTTCTTCCTTCTGTGTTATATCTAGATGACAGATGCATTGGGACCAAGGAAACCTATAATTAACACCTCTCCTTTTCCTCTTTTCTCCCCCTTTCATCACCTTCAGGGGTTTCTGCTATTTTAACTCGGTGGCAATCGCAGCCAAGCTGCTCCAGCAAAGACTGAACATTAGCAAAATCCTTATAGTGGACTGGGTGAGTAATGCCAGTTCTTACCCTTCAGGAGAGCAGTTGGAAATTTTTCTGGGTTTTTTTTCTGTTAAGGGCAACCCTAGCTTTGTAAGTCAGTGAAAAAAATGTTGCCTGTGGTCTGCAAGCCAAAATTTGTTTTTTAAAGTTTTGGGTTTGGGTTTGGGTTTTGTTGGGTTTTTTTTTTTTATTAAAGTGTTTTGAATAAAAGAAATATTTCTTAAAGGGTCCATAGTTTTCAGAATAAAATTGTAATTAAGAAGTAGTTGCTTTCTAAAACAAGCCCATAACAGTCTCAAGGATGGGTAACTGCCAACCGTGCTGAGTTTTGGTTATTTTTTTTCTGAAGGTTTTTGACCTTAAGTGTTACGATCTTTTCAAGATGTGAGGACCAGTTACTGAGAGGGATGGGTTGTCTGGCACGGCTTGACCGTCGGTCTGGATGGTCTCTCTCCTGCCTCTGGGCCAGCGCAGCCTCCGTGCGAGTGGGCAGGCAGTCAAAAACGATCTCTAAATTGGAACACGGCAGTGAAATACTCTGCAGACAGTGCAGTGGATTTGAGAAAGAGCCTGTTCAGGATTTTGCTATGGCGATGTATAAATTTTAAAATGTGCCTGAATGATTTTTGTAGATTTAAAAATTTATTTATGTGGCTGTGAAGGCATTTGAGTTGCTGGGTATCGGCCAAGAGTTTTGATTAGATTGCTGCAAATCTCCCATGGGTTAGGCCCACAAGTTAAAATGGATGTATTTGTCTTTTTGACCTACTGGACATCCTTTCCCTCACTTCCCACCAACTGTTTTTCGTGTCAGAAAGGGGCCTTTTGAATACCCGTCCTGCGTTTCTGCACCAAGTAGCAATGCCATAGGGGATCCAGGTAATGGGTTTGTGTCGTTTAACCTTGTTGGGTCCAGCAAAACTTTGCTGGGCACTGGTATCAGTGGTCACCCCACAGACCAATTAATGGTGTAAATTTGGGGTAACTAGTAGAGTCTCTCCATCCCCCAGGACTGGGTATGAATCCAGTTCTCTCCATCCAAGTAAATTGATCCCGTCCTCAGTTTTGATATACGTTTGAGATTGTATTTACCCTCATTTATCCCGTGTGTCAAACAGGGAGTGTAACCTGAAGGCAGCTGTGCAAAGCAGGTTACTCTCATTTGCGATAAACTGCTTGAGCTAGATCAGAGAAGTGCAGAAAACGAAGCACAACAGCAAAGAAAACCCTTCCGAATCCCAAGTTGATGGCTTTAATCTGCGTTTTTACTAAAGTACTAACCTCCCTCATATAATGCAATCTCTGTCCCTGAAGGATGTTCACCACGGGAATGGTACTCAGCAAGCTTTCTACAATGATCCTAATGTTCTTTATATTTCACTACATCGCTATGATGATGGGAACTTCTTTCCAGGCAGTGGTGCTCCCGACGAGGTAAGAGCGTGGATCGGCATAGCATCCATCCGTGTCTGATATGACCTGCTCGGGGCTGTGATTCAGGTGCCCCCCAAAATGTCGGGGAGCCTCTGCCAGGCAAGGCTTGGAGAGAAGCTCCTGCCACCGCTCCCACGCTCGTGCTTGTTCCTTTGGGAACACGCCACCCGGGTTTGTGCGTTTGGTGCCTTCTCATCCAAGTCCTAACAGCCATGGGCGTTGTGTTCTGCCCCACGAGCTGGCAGGAAAGCGCACGCCTTGGCTAATGAGCAGAAAATGAGTCAATGCAATGAGGCTCTCTGGCCCTTACGGGAGAACGTTTTCCAGAGGAGCCCTTTGCCAGCTGTCCCAGCGCTCCGTGTACTTTTCAAGATTTCCCCCTTACAGGCATAAGTTGTTTCTTAGATGCAGAAGGAACAGGTTGTCCGTGGCTGTGCCACTGGCACTCGAGTTTCCTGGCACAGCCTTGGAGCCCATCCATCCCCCGCTTCTCTGGGCCCTGCCGAGGCATCGCTCACCGCCACTGCTGCATTCACATTGCACGGCCCCGACGGTGGGATTTGAGCATCACTCACTGATGCTGCTGGACCAAATCCACTGGTTCCTGGTGGTGGCCTCGGAGCCTCCTGCAGAAGGATCAGGCCAACGGAGGTGGGAGTCCTTTCTCCCTAAACTCTGGATGGATGCTCCTACATCTATTGCATCCTTCCTTTCCCTCTAGATCGGCGGGAAATATTATCTTTCCAGAGTGATTTATCAAAAGGAAATTATATGAAATACTTAGTTTTGTCTACTCTGAGGCACTCCAGATAACATCTGAAAACTCCTAGAGTTCTTACCCTGTCAGTTTTACATTTTCCTGTTCATCAAACATCGATGTTGCCATTTCGGTTTCTGAAGAAACTTAAACGTAATGTGATACTGCTTCATTGCCCTGTTTGTGCGCTACTGTTGTAGTGAATGAACAGCAGCCCTTTGCATCAGACTTAATTTCTGCTTCAGGATATGAAAAGGTCGCAGACCTACTTTTTTGCTGACCTTTTAATAATCTAGTAATCTGGCTTACAAAATATCTACTATTGTAAGGAAACATTAGACTACACCATCCACTCCGTATTTACCATTTATAGTAATTTTTAGTTGTGTCATTCCAGACCGAATAAAACAAAGAATACAAAATAAATTCAGTTAAAGCCACAGATGGGTAAATAACCCACCGTGGATGAACAAACCCTCTGTGTGTTTCTACCAGCAGCATTTGCACCAATACAGGGAAGAATGTGCAATAAAAGCCCCGCAACTTTATCTAGCCTGAATTATCTGGCTATGTATTGTATAACACATAAATTTTCAAATTTTTTTTTTCATATGCAGAGACCTAAAAAAACCACAATAAACAAACGGTGTGTGTAGGAGCTCAGAGCCCTGTGCAGAGCTGCCGGTGGCAGCAGATACTGCCCGGCTCCATTGCTGTCACCAGGGACCCGCAGCCCGCGCTCACGACCACCGCGCTCAGGCAACTATGAGGTCCCTGCTTGACGAAAGGACTGAATGCAGGCTTTTTGGGTTTCAATAGCATGGGGAAGGCATGGCCTTGCTTCTTGGCAAGCGAGTTACTGGAAACCCCTGGTTTATTTTTCCATTTTCCCCTTTCTCTGCAGTCAGTGCAGACAGGGATGTTTGCAGTACGTGCAAGGATGGGGATGTACTTACATTTACCACCCACGTGTCCCTCAAGCAGCGAAAATCTCTTCTCTGTGAATCGTATTTTTCCCCAGCAGAGGGGGAGCTCGCTCTGATTAAAACCGTGGGTTTTTTCCCCCAGTTGCAGCTATAATGAAATATAAAATATGCTTCTGAATAAAGCTGAAAACAAATTAAGGAAAGGTATTGCATGTAACACACTCTCCTGCAAAAGGGGAACAGGATCCGGTTCATGATGAGATGTTTTTGGGTGAGCAGCAGTCAAATACTGCAGGTCCACAGCTCCCATAAAGATCAGAGCATGGAGGAGCTTTATTTTCACTCTTGTTTTGGGGATCGGGTTGCTTTAGAGGGAAAAATTAACCTCACTACCACCAAGTTATTGAATCAAAATCCATATTCAACTGGAAGAACATTACGACAGCAGAAATGTGTTGCCAGAGTTCGCTGTTTCTGTATGTGTAATGAAGAGTACCATCTCCCTTTTTCAGGTTGGCACAGGAGCAGGAGTTGGTTTCAATGTTAACATGGCCTTTACTGGTGGCCTTGATCCACCGATGGGAGACACAGAATACTTAACTGCTTTCAGGTAATATTGACGTTTCCCTCTTACAAACATATTTTTCACCTAAGCTGGGTTTCTTTTTCCTCGTGCAGTGCTCCTTAATCTTGACTTTCTCTCTTGCTAAGTTTAGAAATACAAGATTTACATCTAGTTGCAGTTACTTTTTGAGTACCATAATAAAAATACAGCTGAATTAAGTAAATAGGATATTTCTGGCCATAAGAAGTGTGCCTGTGACATTAGGGGATTGACATATGCGCTGCTCAGCACTGATTGATGCATGAATGTAAAATGTCAACTGATATGAATAAGCTCCTCTGGTTTTGGCTAAAAATCTTTACCTCTTTGGGGTGAGTATTTCTGTGGGTAAACCCACCTGGATGGGGAGAAGAATCGAGAAAAACTTCTTAACAAGTCATCATGAGTCGAAACTTGGGAGTGCAGCTGCCCCAAGGCTTGAGACATTACTGCGCTGCAGACGATGGTACCCGACTTCTGGGCAAGTTGGCGATACAGTCCCTCCCCTGCAAAAGCTCTGCTCACGATTCACACCACAGTTCGCTCCCAAATGTACCTAGCAAAGGGATGTGGTCTTGTTTTGATAAGCTTTAGATTTTATTATTATTCACCCAAGATATCGAATATGCCTCTTCCAACCAACTGGAAATTGAAGCGACTGAACTGTTGGGTTTGTGCTTTTCTTACTGGGTTCTGGTTTCTCCTCAGAAGCAGCGTGTTGTGTGTTATCAATAAAAATACAACCATCTCTTAAATAAGTGTTACTCATCACTCACTGTCAGAGTGTGAATGAAGGTAAGCAAAGCTGTGGAGTTGAATTAATGTGTTGCTGGCATATCCTGCTTGATTAGCAGTAATAGTAAAGCCAGACATAAACCACTGTCCTGGGTTGTATAAGTATCTTCAAGCGTGCTCCAAAAAACTGGCATCATTTGAGTCTCCAAATGGAGCAGGGGATGAAGGCATTTGTTGACTCACTTTTTCGTGTCCTGTGGGTCTTACAGTCCTGCTCGCAGAAGCGTATGATACCTGAGGATCACAGGGAGGTATCTGCAGGGAATAGTTTGATCTCATCCTTACTTTCCTCCTCATATCAGCATCATCAGAAGAGATGCATGAAACAAAACACACGTTATCTGATCTACGGTCATGCACACCCAGGTTGTGGTCCCTCTGAGCAGTGTCACTACAGGAGGACTGCAAGAGTACGGGTTGAACATCATCTTGCTGCTCTGAGCAGCTAATGGGCAAAATACCCCAATAGGGCGATTGTACATCATTGGCGTTTTGGGGACTTGATGCAAGCCTGCAATGATGCATTTGCCTCCCAGAGCTGCAGAGAATGGGAAAGAAAGGTATTAAAATTAACTATGGAAGCAATAGAATAACAAGATGAAATGAAGGCGGATCTCTGGGTAGAGGAGAACTTGTAAGTAATGCAGTAGTGAATAGAGGCCAGCGTGAGACCACACTTTCCTTTCTGATACTCTTTCCAGGAGAATGAATATAATTCTCTGGCCTGCCAGATATATAGGCTTTATTTTTCTTAGAGACTGTCCTGTTCCACCCCTTACCTCCCCCATGCTGTGGGTCCATCCTCTCCAACTGGCATATTTTTTAACAATTATGGGTTGAAGTGGTTTTCTGTCCTCAAACCAGATTTAGTGCACTTCTGGCCACCACCCCACGTAAATTCAGGGAGACACATACTTGCCAAAACATGGGATGCGAATTTCTGGTGACAGGCAGATGGAATATCGCCTTCATGGAACAGCATTAGATCTGGGAGCGTTATTTTCTGTTCTTCCCTGTGCGCGTATTTGTATTCCATTATACTGAGCAAAAAGAGCTCTTCAGCCTGCCATGAAAAAGCCTTCAAAGAATGTATACAATTTAAAATAACATCTAGTCAAATAACTGTCATTTGTCTCGATGTTTTATTCCTGTTACAGCAAAGCAGCACTTTCGTCCAAAGTGGAAGTCTGTTTATCTCAGCAGTCAACAAGACTGATCTCTTCATTATAAAGAGAACCTGTAGCTCGCGATGGAGTGACATACTTGCTATTAAATATTAATTGAGTTTCAAGGCTCCTGGAAAATTGCTCAGTCTGCAGAGTAAGATCTTTGCCAGCCATTCCTTAAGAGGCACTGGTGTCTTTTTGCCCAGAGACTGCAGCTATTTGGGGAAGATATTTTGGAGCCAGTCACAGCCCTTATTTTGCCGGGGTTTTGGGACATTGTGACTCATCCTCCTAGGTAGCACCTCCCATAGTCTGCCCCATGTGCACACCTTCAGTCAATAAGTTAAATTGGAGGCTTTTTTTTAATCTTATGCCAAGTTTGGTCATGATAATACATTATCAAGTGACCTTTTTAAATCTTAACCAGCTTCTTTGAAAAACATTTTTCCCCCCCCGAATCTTTCTATTGATTTTAATGTAAAATAACGCTTTGAAGTTTGCAATTTATAGTCCCCTGAGAGTTAGAAAGTGAAGGGAATGGGTCATATATCCTTTTTTTTTTCTTCTTTTCTTGCGTTAGCCCCTTGAGACAATGCATGCCTTCAAGGCAGCACCTTGTTATTCCACCCCATCGAATGCCACGTTGCATTTGCTGGGGATCAAACCTAAGATGAAGAAAAGATAAGAAAATTGGCCATAATGAACTCCAGAAGCAGCAGGCATTTTCACCATGAACTTGGAAACTCACAGTGGAGAACTGAGCTTTAATTCAAACCAGTCCAAATGCCAAACTGTGAAGCTTTGAAGTCTGTAGAGGAATCAGTGGAAATCCTTTGAGCTAGGCAAAGATACTGATATACTTTTTCTTCCTTTTTTTTTTCTTTTTTTTTTTTTTTAAGCCTTAACTCTTCACATGCTTGTCTGCTTTTAGGGAAGGAAGCCCTCTTTCTACGTAAAGCAGGCAGAAGAAAAATAAGCAACATGCTTTTCATTTTTTTTTGTTCTATTTCAGGATGAGCTAGTGTATGGATTTGATAAAAGCATGCGCTCTAATGAAATAATAACTGAGATAATTGTCCTCATAAATCAGTCTTCTGATGAGTAAATAAATAAATCCCAATGAAACCTATCATCCCTGCACTGAAAACCTGTTTCAGTGTTGATCTACTCTTTCAGAAGAAAGGACGGTAACTGGCATCAATGATTTTCTACTGAACATTTCTTCTACAAATACTGGCTTCCTCCTGCTTGCACTACAGCATTGGGTTGGACGGGATAGCCTGACCTCTTAATGTTTATTAATACCACCGAGCCGTTTCAAAAGTGAGAACAAGAGTTAAAAATGCGAAGCGGAGAGCAGCCTTGCCGTGCACTTTGTCGCTTATTGTCTTCATAACCAAGGGCTGAAATCAGCGGCTGCCCCGTCTCGAGGTTGGGGTGATATCATGATTGCTGGGTTTTTTTTTTTGGGGGGGTGGGGGGAGAGCAGGGTGGAGTCACCCCAGTCACTAATAAGATGTGCAGAAGGGATTTGGGGAGTTTGCTGTGAGCTTGGCGCTCCTCCACCCCATCGTAGCGGCGGCTCTGCCTGCCCGAGACAGCATGACATTATAATTTAGCTGACCGTTCGCTGGGCGAAGGTCCCACGGCTGAACTCACCGCCAAAGTATGTGGGCAATACAGATTTCACAGATTAGGCAGAAATGTATTAAACTCTAATGCGAAAAATGCAGGGCATATAATTTTAAAAGTCCTTAACTCATCAAAATGTTATTGGTATTCATCGCTGTTATTCCGTAGTTATAGAAACAAACGGTTGTAAAATTCAGGGTTTGTTGTTTTTTTTTTTTATTGGAGTCTGTTGTTCCCTAACTTGTTATACAAGCAGAAATCATGTTTGCTTCTATAAATCCTCATGACTCTGTTTTCAAAAGCAGAGTGTGCAAACCCGGCTAAGAGACCCGCAGAAAAAATGCGAAGACTGCGGCTAGTTCCTTATTACACGAGAACAGCAATTACTTAGTGAAATTAAAGTGTATTATCCAGAGGAGTTTTCCTCTGAATTTACTATAAGAAAGTTTTCCTGATGATTCTAGCAGTTGTGTTGTCTCATACCATTTTTTTCCCCCTACCCTGAGGTCTCCTCCACAATTATAATTCCATATACAGCTTGATTCTATGTTAGTTTTATTTTTATTTAAAACACCTAAACCAGAAGCAAAAGCCAGGATTGTATTTGAAAGGTCCCTCCTCCTGCCTTTCTCGGAAAGCGTTAAATGAGTTCAGGAGCCAATTTGGGGGGGGATTTTGTTTTTTCCTTCAATCCATAAACCATTTCAGGAGTGAGTAAGAGGGAGGGGGGGAAGTTGATGATGTTTTGCCTGGAACGGTTGTTTCTGTATTTTAGATTTCATGCTCTCCCGACGCTGATTTCGTCCCCAAACTCCTAATCCCTTTTGACATTGTAAATGACCGTGGAGATGACTGCTTGGAGAAACAAAGACTCCGGAGTCTTCAGGAGGCTGATTAGCCTTAGGAGCAGCAGATAACATTTTGGGGTTTTTTACATATATATGGCCAACAGTGGGAAAAAGTTTCTGAAAAAAAGTGCTCAGCCTTCTAAGTTTCACTGATTTGCTCGCTGCAATTGAGCATTTAAAAAAGTATCCTCTGTAGGATTGGTTAATCTGCCTGTCATTTATTAGGCATTTAATTGGTCAATTGGCTAGTAACAGACTAAAAATTATTCAGTCTTCTGGAAAATAGATATAAAATTGTTTTGGTTTTTTTTTTTTTCCTCTTCCAAATGATTGCAGAACATGATCAGTAGTTCTTACTGTTTGCAGCCATCAGTATTGACTAATGCATAGCTGTTCAGCTTAGCTGTATTCGGAGTCAAATGAAAGGATTTACTTTATTTTAAGCAAGCAAAACAACCCTCTAAAATTTAGGAAATGTAAAGGTAACCCTTGTATTTTAAAAAATTCTACATGGCTTGAATGAATATTCAGTGTTACGAAATCTTTTCATTCCTCAGTGAATAACTCTGCACCCACCTTAGCCATTAATTAAAAGACCCAATTTCAGACAAAACTGCTCATCTTCTTGATAGTAATTTGAATTTCTGGCTTGTTTATAGTATCATCACCAGGGCAAAGCCATAGGTTTGTTTGCAGTTTAATTGTTGCTTTCTCTTGAGGACTTGGCTTTACTGTGATGAGTCTGAGCGCAGGGACTGTTTTCATCTGTGCACAAGAAAAATTAAAAACCAAAAGACTGAGTTAGATGTGCCTGAAACGCTGCCCACAGATGAAATCTCAGAAATACATCATTTGTAAGTGGTTCATTTGTTTGGGTCTTAAATTTTTTCTCTCTTTTTTTTTTTTGTTTTTTTACAATTAAAAAGGAAAAACGAGGGAGTGCTGAGAGGCAGGAGGGCTTTGGCCCAGTTTTATGGCCAAAGATACAGCTGCTTATGTACCTGGTGAGCATCGAATAGAGTTGGGACTGCAGCTTTGGAGTACTGGTGTAATACTGGAATTAGGAGAAAGTCAGAAGAAAGAGCAGCCCAGGAGAGCGTGGGTAGGAGTCATGGGTGAAGGAAAGGGTTCAAGTCTGGATTTGAGAGTGCTCTTGAGTTTGGATCGGTTTGTGATGGTCATGATACCGAAAGCATCATTAGCTTGCTTATTTTGACACCCTGTCATCTTGCACTTCTCCTCTGGCTGCCCCTGAACACGCACGGCTCCCGGGCAGCCTCTGTCCGGGGTGGGCAGCACCCATCCCATGGGCACGGACTGTCTGTCTCTCGTCCTGGCGCTTCTTGGACAGGGGAGCCAGGGGACCTGCGACACGTGTTTCTTAAAACTCTGAGGGACCTGATAAAAATTTACTGCGCGTACAGAGCACTACTAATAGTTGCTCAGAAATGAAGATACTTGCTGGAGTAACCAGTTGTGGCTGTAAGGTCACCCCGTCCTGCACCGGAGAAAACTCTGGACATCCTCAGAATGGCTGCTTCTATCTATTGTCAAATACTGATTGATTTACTTTTAAACAGCAACTGCTGCTTTTTCTCCCCTAAAATTTATACAGACCAGGGTCACGCTTAACTCTCGGTGCTGCCTGTGTGCTGGCTGTGCCATTAAAGGGTATTTTTGAACTGCTGTCACCGCGTGGGGACCTTCAGCCGAGCATCACCAGCACCATCACACTGCTTGCCGGCTGTCCCTGTTGCTCAGCTGCGTTCGTGCTTGGGCATCAGCCAGATGAGCTGTCCCATGGCCAACAAAACGTTACCGATTCGGGGTTGCTGACAGACCATGCGCACAGCTTGGGGGTGCAGGTTTGGGCTTGCTCTGCCATCGGCTTAGAGTGATTCTGCACATCAGTTCAGGTACTAGCAGCTCCCATGGTATCATAACTTTGGGGAGGGACGGGGGGCGGGAAATGATGATTTTAGCAGTTTTCCTTTGGTTAGAAATTGAAGAGCTCAGCAGTACTTCAAAGCTCAGGAAAAAAAAAAAAACCCTCTGCCACGTGCACTTGCTTCGAAACTGCTGCTTTAGTCCTTTGTGAAGGAGGTGGTTTCTACTTAAAATGTCTGTGGGTTTCACTAAACAGATTTTTGTCGACTGTAAAGTCATCAGCAAAAACTGTGCTATTTTGTCTTCCTTATGTAATAATCTCCCCAGGGACAAAATGTATATGGCAAGCATGTCGTTTAGAGGAAAAAATTAAAATTCCTCTTTCGGATTTTGTAAGAATTAAAAGAAAATAAGATCCTTTTTGCACAGGTTTCCATGTCTGTGTGCAGAGACTAGCAGGCGGAAAGATTACAGGAGGCTGTTAGATTACTGCGGCAATTAGAAGGCTTTTTTTTTTTAGACTGCATGGTATCTGAGTGCCTTGACCAGACCTGCGATGTGCCTGGTGTCCCTGCCTGCCTGCTCAGTGGCAGCAATGGAAACTACTTGATGGCTTTGACCAACACTGGAAGTATCTCATTGCGTGGTGGATGTTAATACTCCATTAAAAATAAACTGCAGAGGACAGAATGGCATGAGCTCAGATCGGTGTTGGGGCTAATACAAGTTGCTGACACTAGCAGATGTCTTGTGGCTGTTTAACATCACTGTAGTCAGAGATTTGAATTTTTATGGGTATCTTGATAGCACTCGAGCGGTCTCAGCACTAAACAGACCTTTCTGGGTTCTTTCTGTGTTTCAGAATACCGAATAACCACTATACTCAATAAAAATGAAGTTCTCATGTATGCAAAGATATTTACAGGTTCATGCTTTGGTATATGAATAACTTCAATTCATGTTTTAGAAAGTTAACCCTGCCAATAGCTGTTCCTAGGACAGGGAAACGGGGAAATACTGTCGTTTTCAGTACCAGTACCAGGATGACATTGGTCAGGTTGCCCTAGGGATACATCCAAGATTCAGTGGAATCATTTGGAAAAAGAACGTAACTTGGAAAATATTACTCTATATAAAGGGCCTCGAGATGGAGATTTACAACCCTCTGTGCACCTCCTCGCTTTTCCACCATTTCCTGCAGTTATCAGTGCCGGATCTAAAAGTTCAAAACAACTTTCAAGGCCATACATGTGGGTACCCCGGCATGAACTGAAGGCACGAGAAGGTGTTCGTCCAAGGCTGCTTGCGACGGGCTTTCTCAATCAGAAAAGATTGTGGGTGTCCGTATCGTGTTTATTAAGAAGCTCCGTTGCTTTGACTTTTTGTCCTTGCTGTAATTTCAGTTCTGGCATGTTTGTGCTGGAGCTGTTAGATGAAGAAGCAACTACTTGCTCTTTGCTCAGCTTTCCAGTTTTGCTTAATTGGCATCTTGATGTGGGAAATGCGGTGTTTGCAACCTCGTAGGATTTGAACAGAAATTGAGTAGATTGAAGAGAGAAACCAGAGGGAAAAGGCCTTTTGCTGAGAAACCACAGACATAGACCTCCTACTTCATTTAAATACCGGCCTTAACAGACAATAGTTTATGGATACTGAGCAATTCAGTCCATTTTTTTAGTGAACAAAATGTCAGAGGGTGGGGAACCAGAGTTCGGAGAGGTGTGTTTGGGTGGGATATTTGCATGTTAAAGCTTTTTGCCCCATGTGACATCCCCAGCCTTTCATTACAGTAAATGCAAAGTGCAGCAAGGAAAAAATAAATAGCTTTGCAGATTCTGCAAAGGCTAAAGGAGATATTTAGAAGAAGAATGTGGAGACAAGTGCCACAAACCGAGGTTGCTGTCGGACAGGTTTTCCAGGTGGATTTGCAGCCTGTCCCAGATGCCCTGTTATTTCCTCCTTATCCCCTCAGTGCCCTGTATGTAAAGCAAGATATGATCACAAATGGGAAACACAACGTACAGCAACTTATTTCTCTGGTCAAGACTTGAGGCTGTTGATGAAGGAATTAATAGACCTCACTGAAAAAACTAACATGAGATTGACTTTAAAACTGGACTGCGTGGGGGTGCAAGGTGTTCTGCCAGCCAGGCTCTCACCTTGTAAGAAAATAGGAGATGGGCTTCGCTACCATGGAATAATAGTACAAGGTTTTATAACGGGTTTGTTCAAGATGGTTTAAGTGTTCCTGCGTTTGTTCAAGAGCCAAAATAATGTGTCTGCCATTGTTAAACTTCTGTTGCAGAACGGTAGTAATGCCCATTGCCAATGAATTTGCCCCAGATGTTGTGCTGGTGTCATCTGGTTTCGATGCGGTGGAAGGCCATCCCACACCTCTTGGAGGATATAATCTATCAGCAAAATGTAAGTTGTGGATTTACAAGAACAAAGATCCAAAACTGGTGTAACTTGCTGCTGTCCTAGGGACTAAAGTACAGGTTTTACCTTTTGGCGTCTACCTTCAAATCTTTCCTTTCAATGGCAAACTTTTCAGCCTTTTTCTTTGCATTTTCGTGTTTTTTTGTCACTGCACCGTATATATTTTGGTCTGGCAGAAACCTTTATTTTCTTGAAGCGCTGCCTATTTCAATTTTGAGTGCAAATAAATTCTGTAAGGAAGTTAGCAATTCGTTTGCAGTCATATCTCTGTGGAAGATGGCTGCTGAATTAGAAAGTTATACTTGTTTTAATGCAAAATTTTAGAAAGAGGCAATGCCAGATGTAAACAGCATACCCTGCTCTGAATGCTAGTAGAAGTTAATTTCTTCTTCCAGCATACCTAATTAAAAATTCAAGCTGAATATTTTTGTTCCCCACCTTTGAAGCAATTATACAGGCCAACAAGAATGTCCCTTTTGCTTTGGATCCATGATGTTTTGCATTGCAGAGGAGATACACTGAAATTTTCCCCCCCCTCCCCACTTGGTTATGCTGGGTTTATCTGGCACTGTTTCATTCAAGTCAATCGAGAAGACAGTTTTTCTTGCAAAAGGATTTTATTACTATTTTTAAGAGTTTGCTTCAGCCAGGAAACTTATTCTCTACAGTGAACTTCAGAACCTCGTAAGGTAGCTGAACCTATAAACTTTATATAAGAATAAAGTGAAATAGATTTACAGGAGACAAGTTATTTAAGATATCCAGAAACACTTTGTAATGAGAAGGTCTTGTTTACCTTCTTGTTGAATTTCCCATGCTCTGCTACTCTCGCAAAAAGGTTATGAGCTCAGCCGTGAATCTTTTTATCTGGCTGTTAATTTGCCAGTTTGCAAAGGCGCTCACGGGGGTCACTGCAAAACAAAAAGCAGGGAGCGTGGATGGAGGGTAGAAATGCCCTGGATTTTCTTTTGTTTGGATTTTTTTTTTCTTTTTCGGAGGGGGAGGGTTGCTTTGAGGACACGTTTTTTAAATCCTCGCAGCTTGGTTCTGTTTTGTTTAAAGGGTAGAAATGTATTGTGTGTCATATGATCAAAGTCCCGGGTGCCCCAGGAATTTTTATAGCATATTATATACGGGAAGAAACGTCTGTTAAGAACTAGATGTCAGATATCTCTGGGGCACTGCGATGCTGCTATCGCAACTGAAAGCACCGGCAGCAATTTTACTGATTTCCCCTTCCCCGCCTCCCTCCCCCCGTGCCCCCCCATGACTGCTCTGACTTTGCATCTTCCAAAGCAGGGCAAAAAGCCGCCTTCCTTCCACCCTCTTTCTTTCCTTCCAAAGGAGATACTCACTGCTATATACAGTTCACAGCGCTGAGGGGTGGTAGGGAGGATGGTGGTGCCTCTCACCTGGGATAAACTCCAGCGAAGCGCTCGTGGGGGAGATACGGATCCGTCCCGCGGCACACACGGCTGAGCCGGTCCAGCGGGGAACCGTGGCTGGAATTCTGCAGTGCGCGTATTAAAATTCAACCTGGCTTATATTATGCGTTGAGTCCTTTCAGATCCCTTGTGGTTTTTTAATATGATGTAATTCCTTTCTATAATTCTTTGATCCTTCGCCAGGAGCCTGATTCCAGCCGCAACCTTTGCCCTTCTCCTGCATTTCCTCTTTTCCCTTATTACAGGCTTCGGGTACCTGACGAAGCAGCTGATGGGCCTGGCCGGGGGTCGCGTCGTCCTGGCCCTCGAAGGAGGCCACGACCTGACCGCCATTTGCGATGCCTCGGAAGCGTGTGTTTCTGCTTTGCTGGGAAATGAGGTACAGAGACAGGCAAAACCAGGGGCTGCGACCTCCATCCTCCTTGAATTTGGGCACCTCATCCTCCAAAACAGTCAATCCGCCAAATTTTTGTCATTGTTTTGGGTCCTTTTGACACACATGGATTTAAAGAGTGCATGCTTTATTTGTTTAAAAACTACCTGTGTCTGGCAATCCGTATTATAAGGATTGAAATAGCTAAGAATTTAATTTGGGTTTATTCTTTATCCAAATAGCTTGCTTTGTGCTCTTGGAAAACAACCAATTAGTTTAATTTCTTTCTGAAGTTGTTGTCCAAGCCTTCCATTCTCTTTGCAGACCCCCTCTCTAGCACTGCAGCCTGTACCTGCTGCATTGGGCAGGTTGCTTGACGTTGTTTTCAGTTGTGTATTTTCCTTGACATTGTATTTTCTACCTTCTGCAAATTGCTGTGTCACAGAAGTTGGCTGGAAAGGCCAGGGTGTTTGATTGCAAGACAAGAGCAAGACACAGAAGTACACCAAGGAAATCTAGTTTTTGGTTTCCAGGGAGGTCAGGGTATTTTCCCACAGAGGCAGATACTTCAGCTTTTCTGCCTTCCCCCCTCCCCTGCCTTTTAGTGTCAGTGAGATTAAGGAAGAGATGATTCAGATTTCCCGTGCCCATCCTCCTTGATGCAGCCTGGCTATCAGCATCCACATTTCTTCCAGTGTGGTTGATAATTAAAAAGTTTGGAGTGGTGGCATTTGACGTGTCTTTGGGCTCGGGGAGTTCAGAGTCGTGTACTGCAGAAATATGGCAGCAAGGAAACAGAAATCAAGTATTGGCAGTGAAATCCCAGACTGGGGCTCTTGTGCATCTGCTATGTCTGCACCTTTGCATACGCTTCTGTTCAAGAAGCATATTTCTCTATAATTTGTGGGCTTTTGAGTATGAGCAACTGGTTTGTTTGTGTCAAGCCTCCCTCCTTCTGGTTCATTCCTCTTTTTTGGACACCTTTTCTCCATATGGAGGATGACCACAGCCCAAATGGTTGAGTCTTGGATGGGCACAGTAGACTGCGAAAGTGCTTTGCATCAATTTTCCACCTCACACAGAGAAGCAGGCACTTGCTCAGCTTGCAGCCCCAGGCACAGTCCCCGCTCAGTATCTGCTGTGGGTGTCCTGGTATAGCAGGGGCTCTGGAGCTGTTCAAAACAATCACTGAGGATTGATAGCATGAATTAAAACAACAGTGCAGTGTGATTCCTTAGGCTACATATGGCTAAAAATTTCAGCCTTGGAGGAAAGCAACCACACCGATTTGAAGTTGTGGGTGGCTGTGAAACCTTGGGCAGCATTAATGTTTTGGCTAGTGTGTTTGAATTTTTTTAGGCTGCCTCTTTAATTAAGAGATTGCCCTCAGTACTTTGTGGAAATGAGCAAATATTGAAAGGCTAGAGTAACAGGACACGAGGAGGCTCCTGAGATGGCCTCTGGTAGAGCAGGCTTCTGAAGGTAGTGGTCTCTTCCACAAAGCAAGAAATCTGCCTGCTTGTCAGATGGTGAAGGAAGGAGGTTTCTCCTAAAGCTTTCACCTGCCATGGAGAGCACAACCAGCATCTCATCACCACCCTTTGCTGAAGAATCCCTTGGTGCAGGAGCTGATGGAGGATGTGTGGTCAACATCTGAAGGTGCAGCACCACAGAGAGGAGAAGCCTCCCAGTATTTCAGCTCTGGGTCTGCCTCCAGTGGAAGCTGACTTCTGGGGATGGTGGTGAGCAGACTCGCTCTGACTCATGGCTGCAGTTCAGTGACCATCAACCTTTCTCAGGTCTGAGTAGTTGGAGTAGGGAGCTTGGATCTGCATGGAGGTGCATATCACCTATGTTTGCTGACTCTTCCAGCCTTTTGTAGAAATGCTCTGTCTTGCAGTATCCACACTCCGCACGAAGGACGACAGTGCCTGGGGAAACCTCACTAACCAGTCCAAGAGATAAAACAGCTGGGATTCATCAAAAGCATCTGCTTCAATCATCCAGCATCCCATCTCCAAGCGTCCAAAGAGCATCCGCTCCTTGTGCTTGGCCAGGCAGTTCTGATAAGGCTCTCAACATGGGTAACTGATCCAGCACGCCAGCCTGCGCTCAGCCCTCGGGATAGCCAAAAACTCGGGAGCCAGCTGCTACATCAGCATGGAAGCAATAGATTTTTTTATTGCAGCACCCATCTTTCTTAAGCTGACAGCTGATGGCACTGTTGTCACCATAGACAATTCCTCTAGCTCCATCCGCCTTTGGGTGCAGTCGGCTCTAATGGCAGGATGCACTTTGAAGGGGAGACAGAGGAAATGACGCATGAAGGATGTCATTCCTCTTGCTTAACGTGCTCCTACGATGCAGGAGGGTGACCGCAATGTGGTGTGAGGATCTGCGTGCAATAAATAAGCACTTGGTCGGAGCCACGAATGTGTTTGGAAGTGTGAGGCTTTGGGGAGATTTTAGCACTCACGATAGCTTGGATGTTGTCAACTGCCTGAGTGGTTTCATTTAGCAGAGTGAACATTGGTCCTTAAAGGTAAAAAAACATTTTTTTTTTTTTAATCACTGAATCAGGACAGCTATAAGGCGCTTTAAAATACTTAAAGGTGGACCTGTTCTCACTTTTCCTAGGTGGGCTATAAGGCTGCACAGATATCATGATAATGTTCTCCGACTTACCCGCACATCAAAAAGCAGGAAACACTAGTTTTATCAAGGTCTTTTATAAAATCTTTTTAATGCAAGGAAGTTGGAGGCAACTGCTGTTGCTTTGTCCCGCGGCCCTTTGATGAAGTTTGATATACAGCGTGTTAGACAATTTTGCATGCGTGCACATGGACAGCCAGCTGTGGCCAGCGACAGGCTGCGGGGAGGTTTGTTGGCTGAGGAGCAGTGCCGGAGTTACACGGGGAAATGGTAGGAAATGAGGGGAAGAGTGCCAGTCCCCAAAGCGTCTGCTTTCGCTGGCGGAGATCAAAACTCCCGCTTTGGAAAAAGCGTTATGCAAAGGCAAGAGCCGGCTTGTTCCCAACTGTCCAGGAAATTAAAACAGAGCTTTTGCTTTGCAGCAGATTATTTTAATGTGAAATGAGTTAGTGTCAGGCGAAGTTGCTTGAAAATGTACATACATTGCTTTAGTTACAAATTTAGTTGTGCAAAACTAACACGGCTTCAGCTGAAAAATCAAAGGCAGGCATGATGCAGGGAAGATCTGATGATGATAATTTAGACCAGTAAGCCACCGTTCCTCTGCCATTATTTAAAGCAGCCCCTGACAGCAGCATGCCAGCAGCACTGGAGGGCAAGGGAGGCAGCAACCGTGCAGAGCTGCTCACTCCGTCGTGGGCATCACCAGCCTTTACCCTTCAAACCAAGTTCTGCCCCATGGCAAACGCTGTTTGTGAATTCTCTGTTCCCGGGGAGCGATGCTGCTATTTAAGCCCTGGAGCATGAGTAGCATTCGCTGCCCCAGGCTAGGACCCATGTCAGCACCACGCCTGGAGCAGGGTGTGGAGCTGCCGTGCTATAGGAGCTGCAAACGGTGGAGAGAGAGATGGGAGGCACGTGCTGGGATACGTGGTCCTGGAGCTCAGCAGCACTCGCGGTGCTGCCTGTCGCTGCTACAAATGCTTTGTCATTTTTCATGCAGAAGTAGCAGAGGTGTGTCTGGTGTCAGACTCCGGACATCCCGAATAAACAAGAAGGTCATAATAAGTAATTGCTTTAAAACTTTTGCCTAATGCCCAGAGGTATTTCCTTCCTCTTCCAGGAGAGCGATGGGTGAGGCTGTTGTCTGTGAGTGTTATTTCAGGAGGAGGAGCGTGCAATGGAGATGATTCATCTGCAAAGTAGCACACGTGTGTCCGGCTGCCTGATTTTGTGTGCTTTATGTCAATACCAACCGAGAGGCGTTAGAAAGCTTTTACTTAAAGATTTGTCCAGGAATTGCTTTTGCCTTCACTTAATACAGAAGCCAGTTTGGGCCAGAATTATTTTTAGAGTGGAGAATTTATAAAAAGTGCAATCCGTAATTATTAAATCTGGAACAGAGCAATTTCTAGTCCTCATGAAGTACCTATCAAATGGCTGCCATGTGGTCGCAAGAGCAGATCTCTTGGCTGGAGCTTCTCTTGGCTTTGAACACAAGTTGCAGTTAAACTGTGCCGTAGGTTGTTTTTTTTTCTTTGTTTTTTAAAAATATTAAACTGTGGCTGCTGCTTTGCTGGGGGGTATCCCTGGATGGACTTTGACCAGCATTTTCAGACATAGTTAACAGCTGTGGACATCTCTTGTTTTGGATACACAACCTTGGAGGTCTGTGATGAATTCATGTTATTTGTGGAGAACCTGGGGGGGGTGGAGCAGAAAGAAAGAAAAAAAGATGGGCTTGGAGAGCATCAGATCTGCTAAAGTTTTTTCTTGAGTATTTAATTGGTTGTGAGATGTCTTGAGCTCGTGTGAGTCTAATCCAAGCCATTGACCATGTACATGAGCCAAGTAGAGCTGCTCTGCTGGGGCATCCTTACTTACCGAGCAGACGCCCCTGCTGTGCCAGAGGAAACCAATATTCTCCCCAGTGTCATCTGTTGAAAGCAAATAACCCCATCTCCTTCCCTTGGAAGACCTTTTTATAATTTTGCATTATTTTTTATTACAGTGTTTTTTGGTTTGTTTTTTTTTTTTTAAATAAATTGAGAGATCTGTGCTGCAGATCCCTCTCCTTTCCTGGGGAGGCGTGCTGGTGCCGCAGGGGGAGGCAGCCCTGACTCCTGCCTGCTGTCAGAGCCATGCCTGCGCAGTATTACTGTGCTGCTGCCACTGCCAAAGGATGGCAGGAGCCACACGAATGTATCTTAAGGTCTTCGCTGGCTCTTCAGGAAAAAAAGCCCAACAAACTAATAATAATCATGGGTTGGTTTTGAGCCCAAGTTTCTTGCCCAGTGGGAATTGAATCAAGCATTGTAGCTACAACAACAAAAGGTTTAATAAAGGGCAGAGGGGACAGTTTTAGCTTTTCAGAGGACAGTCGTCTCAAGGTGAGAGAAGTAACCCCATCAAAGAAGGCGTTCTCCTCTTTTTGGGTTCATTTTTTAAAGGAGTGCAAATAAAAATTAAAACAACCCTCCAGCAGTGCTGTCAGGGGCCTTCCTCCAGGAGAGGACACGCATGCTCCCGCTGCAGAACAGACTTTGCCAGGGTGCCACCCTGTGGTCTTGACGGAGGAGGATGTTCTGGGCTCGTCGTCTTTACTGATGTTTTCTGTCACCAGAAGAGCCCCGGCTTGCTGCTCTGCGGCACCCACTTCCCAAACGAGCAGGGTAAAAAACACCACAAAGAAGGATGCGGTTTTCAGCGTGTTGATCTAATTTTTCTTTTTCTGTACTGACCAAAGGCTGCTGGGGCTGGGATGGATACAAGCAGAGCTTTCTGTCAGGCAAGAGGAAAATATCTCCTAGAAAATAGGAGAAAATGCCATCGTGTAAGGAGAGGGCATTTCTCTTGCTCTCCCCCTTTTCCCATTCTCACTCCTTTCCCCTGCCCTGGCTGCCGGAGCGCTTTTGTGCCTCTAAAAAGAAATGGGAAAAGCAATGTCCTTTGTTGCTGAAGGGAGCCCTGGAGCCCTGTCCATCAGTCACCATAGGTGCATTTGTCCATGCCGATGCAAAGGTGAACTGGATCCCCTGGTAGTTTTGTAACCTCCCAACTCAAACCAAAAGGGCAACTCTCTCCTGGGTGGTAGGAGAGCTTGCAAAAAGCAAGTGATATGTGCGTGCACCTAGTTTAGACGTTAGTTTTCTATATAGCAAGTCTCAGGTCTGCAGAAGCTTTTTGCTCTTGAGTGCTGAGGAACAGTTTTCTTTCTTTCTTTAAAACAGCTGTGCTGATCAAAGCGTGGTCTCAGTGGTCTACGCTATCGCTGGTAGCCAGCACTGCTCCGTTGGCAGAGGTGTGTGCTTCCTGACTGATAGAGCTGGGATCTCCAGGACCTCTAACAGAGACGTAGCTCCGGTGGCAAAACCACCTCCTTGCCAGGATAGCTTATTTCACACCCACGGGCTGGAGTAGTCTATCCTGGCGGCAGTGCAGGTTTGCTGGTAGGAACTGCATCCAAACCAGCACTGGGCCATTACAGTCCTGCAGAGCAACTCCATCAGCATCGTACTGCTCATATGGGTTTCATACACTGGCTTTTACAGGTAGATCCACACCACAGAGCTTTGCTCCAGTGTAACTGGAGATGGACTTAGAGGAATAACTGGAGAAGGACTTGGAGGAGCTTCTTCAGAGTGGCATTTCCTAATTCATCTCTCTCTAGCAAAATGAAGATACTCTTATTTTCCCATGTTCCTTGTTAAGTAAATTGTTCTTAGTGCTTTGATATTTTATTGTTGTTAACAGTTGGTAACAAAGGCAGTGCTGCCGTTGGGAGGGTGGGATGTATGTTAGAGCAAACCAGAAATCGTCTGTGCATTTAATCTTGCATTTACAGCATAAAAGCAGCCAAGCCCAGAAAGATACCTGCTTGTTATCTGCATTTACAATGAGCATTTTTGGAAGGCCTTCTGTGTCATCTTTCAAGTCTCAATACCATCAGCATGTTCTTGTTGTCACCTTTTTGTATAAAGAGCAAAGGAAAGAAGCCAGCATCAAAAAGCCTGAATTTTAATACTCAATTACGAGCTTTACTGGTAACTTCAAGACAATATTTTTTTAAAGATTAACATACAGATTTAATGCTGCTCTGCCCTGGCAAGACTACCCCAGCAGCTGGTAAGAGGCATCGATGGTGACTGAACTTACAGTCATGCTGAGTGTGGCTTTAAAGCAATGTTTTGCTGTTTCCCTGTTCCAAAATTAGGCTATTTACTCTTAGGATACAGATTTTTTCAGTTAAGAGTTAATAAATACATTGGATTAGGTATTTAGAAGAATTAAAAAGCTACCCCTTTTATTTCTTCAGAGGAAAGCGAGAAGAGTGGCTCTTACAGTATTTTTAAGTCCCTTTCATTTGCACGTTGTTTTGTTTTAATAGTGAAAACTTTGCAAAAAGGTAGATCTGAGCAATAGTTTAAAAAGATCCTTTGGAAAAGCAGCCAACATCACTTGCCTTATTTTTCTGGTCTGTGTAATAGTGCCTCTTCATAGCCTATACCAGTGGCTGCAGGCAGGCAGCCCCTGTGCTGCGCGGCTGCTGAGCCTGGCGGAGCTGCAGCATTTTGTGTGTGGAGGAGCATCAGGCTGGAGGAGGCTGCAGGGAGTATCACAAGAGCATTTAGAAAGTCTGTGTATTTTGGATATTTAACTGAAGGCAGGTAATAGGAATCAGGGGAGTGGGGAGGAGGCTTGATATGGCAGAGCCACTTGCTAAATCGCAGTTAACGCCTGGTCTCTTAACTTGAGATAACATTTCTTCCGTGTTCCTCTTTCTTTCCAGCTTGACCCTCTTCCAGAAAAGGTTTTCCAGCAGAGAGCAAATGCTAATGCGGTGCATTCAATGGAGAAAGTAATCGAGATACACAGTGAGTATAGCCCCATTCACCCAGCTGGTTCCTTGTCGGGTTGCCCTGTGGGACACCCGTTTGACTTCTCCATCATCCTGGCAACTCCATGTCCTAGTTTACAGGTGGTCACTGCACAGCGAACTGGATTTGTGCAGCCACAAGCTGGTCTTACTGTGCAAGCAGTAGTGGATCGAGTGGTGCACGGGGAACGGTCCATTCAGGGAAGCGCTTTGGCGCTTGAGGGGCAATTAGTATTAAAACCTTTAAAATCTCTGTAAAGGACAGGCTGTCCTCCACTTAGAGTGCCCTTACCTCCTCAAAAGCAATTCAAGTATCTCCAATTAACATAAATCTTGTTGGGTGTTGTGGCATACGTTTATTAAGAATGGATAGGGATGAAAGTTAAAGAGAGTATTGCATGAAGTTGCTAATATTGTAGGTTTATTTAGCTGGGGAGGTTAAAATCATTGTGGCTGAGGCTTTCCTGAGGACATTCTTGGGGGATGGAGTGAAAAAGCCTGGGTATCATGTGAATCCCACCGCTACGTTCTGACATCTTCCTGCTTAAAACATTTGTGATGTAAAACTGGAGGGGGCTAGTCTCCATTTTTTCGGGCGAAAATGGAGCTTAAAAGACGCCAAAGCATTTCCCCCCCACCCCCGAAAAATGCCCGGTGGCTTTAGAAATTTGAATTCCATTTCCAGAAGCTGCTCTGCAGAGTGAGTGCTCAGCACCAATGTGACACCTCAGCAGCACCTTGAACCAGCCAGTGATTTTTATTTTTTTTTTCCTTAACCATTTTTTAGGGCGAAAATGGACTTAAAAGACGCCAAAGCATTTTTTTTTTCCCCCCTGAAAAATGCCCGGTGGCTTTAGAGATTTGAATTCCATTTCCAGAAGCTGCTCTGCAGAGTGAGTGCTCAGCACCGATGTGACACCTCAGCAGCACCTTGAACCAGCCAGTGATTTTTATTTTTTTTTTCCTTAAAATCAGCACAGCAAATTAAAAGGGGCTTTGAGTAAGACCCTCAGATCTGCTGCCCAACACAGGAGAAGCAAAGATGTTTGAAAACAAGTCCCTCCTCCCCATCTGCTGGCCTCACTGTTCAGGCTCTTGCTTTCAGGCTTTTTGCTGTGGCTTCTTGGGTACCAGCAAATCTGATGTGTCCTGCCTGCGGGCAAAGAGAACATCTTTTATTCTCTCCCTCTGAAGCCTTCTCTGCGCTCTTTCCACTGAAAAAGGGTGGCAAACTGCTGACATACAAAATAAATACAACTTGGACTTCTGTAGTCTTAGGTGATTTGCCCACAAAAAGAACATGGCAGTTAGCAAGTAAATGCGGATGTCCAGTCCAAATCTGGACTGCATCCTCACCTCAAATATTTTTCCTTAGGTCTAAAACTTTCTGAGGGTTTTGAAGTGAAAAAAGAAAATGCCGTTATTTTTTGAGCACCTAAGTGCCCCCTTTCGTCAAGGCAGAGGGATGCTGTACAGCTCTGGGCAGCTTGGATCCTCACCTCCAGCACCCCTTGCGCATTTGTCCTTTTAAAAATCCAGTTTCTGCCTCCCGCCTTTCTTCCCGAGGCGAAGGAGAAGAGCGGCTTTCTTTGCCAGACAGTGATTCAGCCCCAGTTTGACATCCTAGGTGTCCTTAAGGGATGCGCAGATGCATGTTTATTGCTCTCAGTACCTTTTGGATTTAAAACCTAGCTCTTCAAGACACAGCGGCATTGCAGCTCCGTCTATTAATACCATAGCATAGCATATAGCTCACAGGGGTCTCTCTGGCCTCGCCTCGCAAGCTGGGGCTCCCTTGGCACGCGTTCTCAGGACCTCGAGATGGTCCCTGAAGTGAGAGGGAGTGCGGATCAAGGTTCCATGTTGCATAGGCGTGATGGGTCTTCCCCAGGCAGGTCCCAGCCATCTTTGGACCCGGGAAAGCGGGAGTGGGGTGCTGCACCCGTTACGGTGCAGGTGCCCTAACTGCCTCTTCTCTCCCCAGGCAAGTATTGGCATTCACTCCAGCGTTACGCCTCCACGGTGGGATACTCCCTGGTTGAGGCACAGAAGTGCGAGAACGAGGAGGCAGAGACGGTAACAGCCATGGCATCTCTGTCAGTGGGCGTGAAGCCAGCTGAGAAGAGGTGAGTTGCCTTCCTTCCCATTTATCATCACTTCTCAGAGCCTGCCCAGGCAGGAAGGGAGCTGTGGTGGGCAGCCTTCCGGGTTAATCCTCTCCTTTTAACCATTGCGCATGCATTCCGCACATCTCCTGCCCTCCGTGGGTTCTCTAATGACCTCCTGGGCTGCAGCAGAACAGCAGTGCCATGAACCCGGTGTGTGACCTTAGTACAGTGCATGCTGTGCCTGACCCCTCTGCTCCAACCAGAGCTGAATGTGGTTTTGGACCGCGAGAGGAAATTGATTTTGCTGCAAAAAATTTTAACATTGCATAAGTGAAGACAGATTGTCTAAAAAACCTTCTTGGTGGCAAGTTTTAATTCCAGGTGAGCCAGCTGAGCACAACTGCCCGGGTGGGAAGGTGATGGGAAGGCAAGGCGTGAGACTTAGCACCACAAATTGTCCAACTCTCTTTTGCTCAACCGTCTTTTCTCTCTTCTCCCACTTCCCATCCTGCCTGGCTGTGAAATCGCTCAGACCCGATGATGAACCTATGGAAGAGGAACCTCCCCTGTAGCATTCACCTTTGAGCTGGAGTTCTCTTGTCTGTTCGTCTTCGTCTTGAAGCTCTGCCAAGAAGCTTTCTCTTGTTACTCCTGCGTCCTGTCATGGTTTTTTCCAGAATACAGAAGGACAACCAGGTGTAAAACAAAGCAACCGAAAAAAATCTCTCCATATCTATATGCGTCTACAGTATATATTTGCCGAAAAAGAAAAATGCTGGTGAAGAGCAGTAAAGGACTGACACGCTGGGCATTCTTCCTCGGGTCCTCACTGGGAACGGAAAGGGGAACGACGCCCGTGAAGTCTTTGGCAGAGTTGCCAAAAAAAAAAAAAAAAAAAAAAAAAAAAAAAAAAAATCAAAGATTCAACAACACATATGAAAATAAAACAAACAAACCTTAACGTAAAACTGGTGCTTACAATTTGATTACCCACAATTCAGCAATCTCCGCTTGAACCACTCGACCCATCTTGTAGTTTCATTTCTTGGATTTTTTAAGTGGCTCTTGCCTGCCTGTGAGTCAATGACATTCTTGTCGAAACTAGAACAATGGGAGATGGTGTATTTTTAACAGGGAGGGACAG